CCCATTCCTTCTTTTCTCCTCTCCTTGCGTCCAATGAGGTGCACCCTGTCCAACTGCTCGCCCCTCTGCTCGTTTTGGCTCTCTTCTCTTCCTTTCCATCCCTCTTTTGCTCTTTGCTTGACGCTCATGAGTATAGTAGTTCCTTAATAGGCGCTTGCAATCACCCCAGTTTGTGACTCTTTCCACAATAGTCTTGACAAAAGACCTGATGGCCTTTCTCACAAACTGAATCAACCCTCCAACTCTGGAGTCAGGTAGAACTTTCTGTTCGTTTGCAAACAGATCATAAGCCCAGAGGAACTCTTCCAAGTTGGAGGAGTCAAAGCGAATAGGCAATCCGTCTCTCCCTGTAGGCGATGGATGCAGCCCCTCTATCTTCCTCTCAAACTCCTGCCAAGTAAGTGACTCCCTGACAGATCTCGCGATCGGCTAAGCCCACTCACCACTGCCTCACACCTCAGCCAACATCCTGGTCGTACCTCAACCATACCGATATGTATGGGCCTCGAACCTGATAAAAAACATCTCCACACTCACTCCATCAAAAATAGGAGGCCTGTTCTCTCTAGTGGTCCTCTGCTGCCCCCTCTGACTGGTAGCCCCCAGAGGAATTTCCATTGGCCCTGCCTCGCCCCTCCCTCTTGGCATGGCTGTCAAAGGTATCAAGCCTGCACAACAAGGAAGAGACAACATGAGCACAGAGGGTAAGCATGTCCGGAAACCACAATAAGAGACATATATAACCCTCTCAAAACTACCTAAATACTTATACACATATATATACTTAACCCTATCCTTATTCTAACCTGACAATTTACTTTTGTTTTCTCTGCTATATTAAGGTCTTCCCCTTACAGCTAGAAACCACATGGCTTGCCAGTTCCACGCTCACCTCATCTCGTGCCACAAACTTTTTCAATATCGAGTCAGACACCTAGTCCTTCCATCTCGTTTTATTCATCTCCTTGATCTGGTATGCCCCATGCTCACCACATCTCGTGATTCTGTACGGCCCTAACCACCGCTTGTCCAACTTCCTTGACTACTGCTTCTCTAGGGATGAGTCGTACAGCAACACCGTATCTCCCACCTTAAGAGGCTCCTTTCTTACTCGTGCCAACTGGTCCCACCTGAACTTATCCTTGGTCCGACTATCAACCACTCTATTCGCCGCCTCTTGAACTCTATCTTTTATGGCTCCAATCTGGCGTGCCCTTAGATCAAGCATCTCCTCAAGAGGCAAGGTCGTTTCGAGGTTTTGTCGTCTCTAAGTCTTTAGGAAACTTTCTATAGGGAACGTCGCATGTCTGCCATACCACAGTGTAGCCGGCGCGTACTTGGTACTCCTTCTGACAGTGATATTCTCCACGAAGAATGCAACTCTCAGAAAATTTGGCCACTGATTAGGCCTGCCATCTGTCCATTTCACAAGGAGATTTGTAATGGTACAATGTCCTCTTTCCATTGGTGCATTAACCCGAGGGTGTGTCGCAGTCGTATACTCGGCAATCACACCATATCCCCTCAGCAGCGTCTTCACTTCTGCACAAGTGACTTCGAACCCCCTGTCCATTACGAATCTTGAGACGAAAGGATAACGAAGGTAGTATTTTTTAATGCATCGAGTCAATACCTCTCCTGTCTTCGTGCGAATAGCCTTGCCATCCACAAAATTTGAGAGATTGTCTCGTGCATCAAAGATATAATTAATTTCTCCTATGCCTAAAGGCATTGCCAATACATCCAGACGGACGACTGCTCCAACCTCACGTATATATCTAGAGTGAAGTGGTTCACTAGGTCAAAGGGAAAACCGCTCCTGACATGGTACACAAGACTTACAATAATTGTCAATCACGTATCTCATGCCATCCCAATAATTTAAGTCGTGAATCTTTAAGTACGTCGCATCTGCGCTCCTATGACCATCTGCCGTTCCATCATGAAAGGTGGTCATAACGTCAATCTGTCGATTTACGCTACAGACCACCCTTATGGGATTCCTTCTTTTACTTCTCATGAACAGATGACCGTCTCTCACTAGGAAATTTGAATTCTTTTGCTAACATTTTTTTTCTCATTTCACATGAAAGGAGCATCCCCAGTTCCAGATATACTCAATTATACTCTTCTACGTGAAATGTCTTTTTTATCTCTCCATCTTCAAACTCGTCATCCTCTCTTTCGTGGACCCCATTCTCTTCCCTATTTTGCCTTTCCTCCTCAATCCTAACAACTTCATCATGAAGCAGCGAGTTTGTCAGAAGGTACATTCCACCTACTAATCGTTCATGTTTTTCCACCTGTTGGGGTGTGTTCTCCAATGTGACCAGATCCTCCCGCAACTGGTACTTGTTTGCCAGGGCCAAATTCATCATCGATTTTACTTCTGGCGTCCTCCATGAATCTTCTTCAATATACGGCTTGATGACTATGTCCGGCCATCGTACATGACTTGGAGGTGCAAGCCATACAGGTCGTGCAAGAGTAATATTTTCACCCACGGCCAGCGACCAACAGTTAATGCGGAGTCTTACATCCTCTTCCTTTTCCAGAAATCCATCGACTGGCGGAGTATCTTCGACTACCCCTTTGTAACTCTTATCCCAGTCGACGCGACTTAACCCATATGCCCTATTTTTATTCCGAGGAATACGCTCCAACTCGAAATCAAACATCTAGATATACGTTAGCCATCTGACAGTAGTTGGATCCAAAGGAGCGAAATTCTTAAGCGAACCAGCCAGAGCAGTCGGGTCAACTCTTAGGACGAACCTTCTGCCGAAGAGGTAATTTCTGAAAATTCGTAGGCAATGAAGAACTGTCAAAGTCTCCCGCTTAAACTCGGAGTAATTTCTCTCAGTTGTGTTAAACGTTCGACTTTCAAATCTCAAAGGCCATTCTTCTCCTTTACAATCTTTCTAAATCAATACACCTCCCAATGCAGTTAGTCCAGTATCAGTCTCCACAATAAAAGACCTTGTTAGCGTGGCGGCATCATCCGGTACCCCCGACACTAAACCCCCTTCCTCAAACTCTTTCTTTAGGCCCTTAATTACCGAATTCTGCTTATCTTTCCATTCTCAGTCTTGACCTTGACGCACAAGCTTTCTCAATTGCTTCATTTTTGCCGCAAACCCCTTAATAAACACCCTCAAAAAAACACACGTTCCCAGGAAGCTTCTTATTTCCGTGATAGTCCTGAATGGTGTCAGCCTCTCGAGAATCTTATTGGTCTTCTTAGTGTCCGCCCAACGACCCCTCTCATCGTACACAAACCCTAAGATTGTCGCTTCGCACATACAATGCCTAGATTTCGACCCACTCAAAGTGAGGTTATGCTCTTTTAGGAAACCTAGGACCTTGCATAGATCTTGCACATGGTCCTAGACAAATTGTCTAATCCTAGACTTTACCTCCTGCTCATTCTTTTCCTTTGACTCTTTCACAATCAGACCATCAATATACGACTGTGTAATATGAGGACTTACTAGTTGCATAACCCTTACCATATGTCTCTGAACCATCTCGATCGCATTCGTCCACCCTTGTGGTGCGACATTCATATGGATCAGACCCCGATAAGTATGCATTTCCGTCATAGGTCTGTCCGACGGGAAAACAGGAAACTGGTCGTAACCAGAATATAAATCTATAAGTGAAATTATAGATCGTCCTGCGCAGGCTTCCAAACGTGCATCAACATTCGACAGACCACCTACGTCCCTTACAGTCACAACATTTACTTGCTGTAAATCATGTACCCATCGCAAAGTTCTATTGGGTTTGATAAAGCAAAACCAAGGGGATGCATATGGTTTACTCGAGTAGTCTGATACATGCGTGCGGATCTTCCTATCAAGGTACTTTGCCATTTTTTCTTCATCAGTCGGATTGGGATATCGCGCACCTCGCAGGTTCCAAGGCTCATGTCGCATGGTATGTATCCGAATCATCGGAATCTTGTCAACATCAAGACGGCTACGTTCGTCATCATTGAAGGTATATGTAGTATGTCTTCCTCTTATGGTATCCACCATCAACTGTCTTTCTTGCGCTGTAAGAAACTCAGACTCTCCTATTATTAGCGCTTCCTCCGTTTCCTGATTGATACGACATGGTCCATTCTTTGCTTTTTTTCGCATTTGCCGTATCAACTCTCGTCTTTCGTAATAAACATCTTGTTCCTCTGTCACGAGCACAAGAACAGGGCGACATTTTTTATCTACCTTTTTGTACCGTCTTTGTGACCCTTGCTTGAGCCTACCCCTAAAAAAGGCCGAGTTGCACTTTGGGGTTGAGTTCCTGCTGCTCCTCCTACCCTTTCGGACACTCGATATACCAACTCCGCTTCTCCTTCTCCCATTTGTTCCATTACCTTTCTTTTAGGGCCTCTACAGCCTCTGGGTCCTCCATCTCGTAGGTCGACACAATGTCCATTGCATCATTTATACTTGCTAAGCTAAGGGTCAACGCTTCCGGATGTCTCTCCCCTTCAAACTCATGCCTTCCCAACCTCCTTCTGTCTTCTTCTAACTCTTCGATCGTGAAAGAGTCAGGATTAGGCCGGTTCCTTATACTTCCCGGCCCTGTATTTCTGCATGTGATAACCTCATAGTTGTCACACACTGGGTCACATAAAACGAGGAACATTGTCCCATCATGCTTGTTAAGCCTGAAGATCTCTCTTCTGCTCAAGAAAAATTGGCCTAATAGGATGGGATGATCGATATCATGCATTATAAAGAAACAACTTCTTACCTTCACTTTCCCAATTTCCAAAATAACTCTCGATGCAGTCCCCACGAACACTGAATGACCATTCGCTCTCATTAGAACCCCATTGTCGGAGCGATCAATCTCCATTGCTAATCGCACGACATGCTCCTCCTTTATGAGGTTCATTTCCGCGTCAGTATCCATCATTGTCGTGCACATTTTCCCTTTCACTATCACATCCAAGCACCCACATGCGAAAGACTTCCAATCCATTTTCGTGTCGGTTTCTGCCCATTTTGTTTCTTTGGGGATTATTGCTCATAGTCGCAAGCTAACCACCATCTTCCTGGACAAACGAGCTTTGAGCTCGTCTCAAAACCTTGGGGCTGAGGCCAAAACATCCTTCAGGTTCATAAGGTGATTATGACCCTCAAGGATCCTGTCCATCATTTTCTCCACATCATACCCTTCTTCCACCCGGACAGTGTACTTTTTCTTCTTCCCTTCTGGAACCATGTTCGTGGCAGCCTTAATACCTCTCTTTTTGACCCTCTGCTCAACTCTCTTATCCTCTTCTCTCCTTAACCTCTCATCCTCTTCATCCTTATCCTCTGGGATGTCCACAGTCCCTTTCTCCCCACTAGGCTCAGGAACATCTTTCGTTGGCTCATCAGAGCTCACCGACCCCTTAGCTCTTGTCCTGACTGCCTCGGGTGCCCTTCCCCACCTTGACGGTGGCCTAAAGGCCATCCCAGATCGAGGCGTCGGTCCTGAAGTCGTCACACTTGGTAAGTTCCCAGGTCCTTCTTGCGCTCCTGGACCCATATCGTAGAGATATACTAGCGGTCTTTTACCTTTCCATTCTCTGACCTCCTCACACATACTGGTCAATTTATCTTGATATCTTCCTATCTTTGCCACCAAATCCTCCATTTTTTCCATCGTCCTTCTCGCCTCAATCCAACCGCCTCTTTCCTCCTCATCGTCCGACTCTATCACAATAGGCTCTTCCTTCACAGTACCAGCTTTTCTCTCCTGCTCTACCTCCTCATTCTCTTCTATTTCTTCCACCCTCACATCAGGGCGGACCTCCTCTTCTTGCCAAATCCGGAACATAGCCGGAGGAGCGGGTGGCATGTCGGCCTCGGCTTGTCGCAAGGCCTCCTTTCTTGTCCCTCCAGGAGTCTTATGGTCAATGTAGTAGCAAAACTTATCGTATTTATCGCTATCATAATTCGCTAATCAACCCTTCATCCCCGTCATTTCTGCGAACATGGCAGAACTTAATCGTATGGTCTTTCTGCCCACAGTGCCAACAAATCGCATTCCACCAATCTATCCGTCCTCTACCAAAACCTCGCCCAACTTTTTGACCACCTTGACTTCCTGACGCATTTCAATCCCCGTTTCCTCCTCCGCTGGAGTTACCACTTCCATTTGCTCTTCCACCGCCTCTGCGGCCACCATTTCCTCGCCCTCGGCCCCATCCTTGATTTTGCCCGCGTCTACCGCCTTGATTCCCTTGTGACCCTTGCGGCGCCGACTGTTGTGGCTGGCTTGGATGTTGATTTGGCTGACTCATTTGTTGAGATTGGGGTCTTGGACACCCACAAGAAGCCATACTTAATGGGCTCCTGTACAGGGTCCATGTTGTCCACTTACTGGTTGTGGTACATATGGATTATACCCAGGCCAGGGACCCGGAGGTTCATAACCCAGCCACGGCCCGTAGGGTGCTTGCCCAGCTTGTGTGGGCATCACCACCCCAACCTGGCCATGTGACTCAGGTGATGGCATCACCGTTGCCTGCGAACCTAGGCCCCTTCCTGAGCCTTGCCCTCCTTGAGCCAGATTTCTGGCCTTTCTTTGAGCCTTCGTTAGCCTCTGAGGCTCAGGCTCTTCTTCTTCTTCTTCTTCTTCTTCTTTTTGTACCACCGTTTTTTTCGCTCTTCCGTGGACTGCGTTACTGACATTACCCTTTTCGCAGCATTCGCCTCTTTCGTGGCTTCAAGTTGGGCCACTACCTCCTGTACGACTTTCTTAAGGTCCTGGTCGCCACATGCCGTGACGTCCATGACCTTTCTCTTCTTTCTTGCCTGCCTCATTTGGAAGAGGTCTCCTTGGTTCAATTCCTCATCTCTTACACTTTCTTTTATTGTGGCCCAAGTGAGTTTTTTTCCTGGGGCGCCTCTCTTTGTTAGCACCGAGGCTTCAAAGTTCATAAAGTGTCCCGGGAAAGTCGCACATTGTTCCTCTTCTGTCATGCCAGGAACTTTCCTCGCCATCTTTTCGAAGGCTGTTGCGAACGCGCTCACTGTGGTGAACTCATTTCGATGTAGCATTTTCATGTCTCGTTTCGTCAGCAGATCATCCCCGAACTTGAAACGCCTTTGCATTTCTTCTTTAAAACTTGCCCAAACTCCTGCTGCACCAACAGCCACCTTCATTATCTCAGGTCGGATTTCACACCAAACGTATTTGGGTAACAATTTGAACTTGTCTGCCTCAGATGCCTCACTAGTGACCTGCTCGAACAACTCGAGCCACTTAGACACCCTCTCTCCTTTGAAATGAGAGATGTCGACCTTGGGTATCTGTAGCCTTGCCAGTTCTCTCTTTTCTATTGCCTTAACAATATCCTCAGGCTTAGCTGTCGGACCTCGCTCAATTTCGTCCGCATTCGACATCACTATCTCCCTTCTTAAACCTGTTGAGAATTAGAAGGATAGCCCATTAACAATTCAGTAACTCTCTACGTGCTTTACCTAAGTCATAATCTATCATACTTTTTTTCTTATTAGTCACAATTACATCATTTTCTACTAACCTATTACTACTTACCAAGGAACATAGGCATACTCTCAATCATAGTCATGATCTTATACTCTTATTGCATACATTATCGTCAGTATCATGACTTATATACCATATACGCCTCCCTTATGTAATATAAGGTTTGTCGTTTTGCCTGGACCATCAGCCTGCACTTAACCTTGGTTCGTTCACTTAAGGACCCTGGTAGGCAGCCGAGATCCCTTGCAACGGCGCCACCTGTCCGGCGCATCGGTCCCTCAAGGGGACCCTCCCGGCCGCGTCACGCAGGATTTTGCAGAATTTCATCGTAGAACGCGGTTTGCCTCTCCAGCCGAGTGCGCCAGCCGTACCTCTCGCGAGCCTCTACGACAGGATAGGGTCAAACGAGGCACGCATTTCCTTCACCCGCGGGAGCTGTCACCATCCCTTGGGTGGGCGTATCCCTGTCGAGCTATCGAACCACATGCGAAGGCTTTTCGTATGCAATCACTGAGGTGGCCCGACTGAGGGCGTTTCTTGTTCGCTGTAGCAAAGGGGGCACGTGCGGTCAACGCCCCTCAATCGGACCCGCACGCGAATCAGCGCATTGGGGGGCTGAGGTCCCAAGCACGACTCGTCGTCGGTCGACTAGGACGCAATCCACTCACCACACGATACACCACAATAAAATTACAATACACACACAAAAACAAAACTCTCCTAGTCCCTTTAGTGTCCGACCCATAACCTTTTAGCACAACAATCGGTTAGGCGTCGCGCGCGAGACTCAACATAAAACTGTGCGAGCGCTAAACCTTTCTCATATCGACCAGCAATGCAAGCTTATGCACTCAGTCGCAACGATGGAGTATTATGTAGTGCCCATAATCATGCGGTTCCTCGTGGGTTCGAGTACCGCTTATGACACTCACGTGTCAAACTCGAAGTATCGTGAAGGTCCACCCCTTCACGATATTGCACGTCTGAAGGAACTCCGACCTTTAGGCTGAGTGTCTCGGTGGACAGGACAATTAGGCTCTGCGCGGGAGGTGATCCCTTCCATGCAGAGTCTAGGACCTGGAATGTTCTGGAGAAGGACCTCGAATCCAGGCCCAGGACTAACGTTCGACTAAGAAATCTTTTTAAGAAGCATACCACAATAAAGGTTTTTGTTTTTCCTTTTCAGTGTGGACCCCATTGAAACCCTTAAGCGTAAGCTGCTCAGGACACGCGAACACCCAAACATAGGTATGTGTATATATATAAAGTAAGGAATAGGTATGTGATGATCACTTCTCACAATCGCAATGGGACTCCTCACAACCATTATAGTTATGCTAAGCAAGAGTACTTCAAACAGTCAAGCAGATGTTTTGCATGGTATGAGACGATCACTCTCACAACAGTTGTGTGGCTTGTACATCCGCATTCACACAATATTCAGATTATCACTAAGATCAATTCAAGAAATCTTATAAGTATACCTGCAATCGCAAAGAGTTCAAACAACAACATCACACACACTAAGGGAGTCAACTTCACTGCTTTCTGCGACTCACACCCTGCCTCATGCATACAAGCCCAACCAATTTCCACCATCCCTCAATAAAGGTACTAAGTTTAAAAAAAACCCAAGAAACAAAGAAACCCACAAGAGCCAAGGCCTTAGGTTGAGATGCATAAGCAGGGAAGTTGCGTCGTAAACCGACCTGTTATCAAAAGATAACAAAAACGTGATCCTTCGTAGGGTCAGGCCGAACAAATTAAGCCTTCGTCAAATTAGTAGACATGCATCACAGTTCAGACCAAATCGGACCAATACTATGTTTCAAGTAGAACATGCTCCATGTCGAGTGCTAACTCCATTACTAACTTTCTTCCTCACCTTCTTCCAATAATTTCCAGAAACTCCTGAAAATCCCGGCAACATCTCCCCTAGACAGGAATAATTGCCAAATTCTTCCTAGCAAAAAATAATCTAACTCTCAAAACTTTACAAAATTTCGGCAACGCTTCCCGTAGGAAAAGTGTCTTTTCATAATTTTCAGGTGTCAAAAAATGACTAACTCCTTCCGATTTGTAAACATTTCAGCAGCGCTTCCCGTAGGAACAAGAGACTGCCAAGAATCATACAAAGCTGAAAATGCAAAGACAAAACACAACTATACCTGGGACCAACTTCCGACACTTACCTGATAGTTAGAACCAGAGATAGTCTACATGATCCCTTCTAGAGGATGGCATCGGGAGCTAACACCGATCCTAACTCCTAGTAAGGTCAGTCCTATATTATCTCAAGTTTCCCTCCCATCATCCATCTCTCCTACCTATAGCTCCAACACTCAGCGAGCATCTAAGGCAACTAACCTACTAAAAGAGAAGTCCCCAGAGATAGCCCCAAAAACATACACATGTGAGTGTGACAACATCTCTCGCCAACCCTGAGGTTCCTTTCCAGGTCGCATAGTTCGTTCAAAAACCCTTGTTATTCCTTTTTACCTCTCCTTACATAAGACATAAGACCAGCCAACCCAACTTATGGATATGACTGACCTGCCCGTTTATATAACTAGGTCACACCAACTTATGGTGTCCTAGTCTGGTAGTGCAAGTATATGTAGGGCATAAAACCAAATCACACCAACTTATAGTGTGACCAGTTTCTGCCTAGATGATTGACATAAGGCGTACGACCGAGCCGCACCAACTTATGGTGAGGCTGGTCACCCTGAACGCTCGACATACGTAAAGAACTGAACTCCTCAACTTATGACGGTCCAGCCTTAGCCTGAACAACGACAAAAGGCATATAACTAGAACACACCAACTTATGATGTGCCTAGCCAGCCCAAACAGCGACATATGGCGTAAAACCGGGCTACCCAACTTATGAGTCGTCAAGCCCAGCCTAGACAAAACCACGCCCGAATAACCAAACAACCCGCAACTTATGCGTTCGCCCAACCTTTGCAATACAACCATGTTCAACGAATAAACATAAGGCATAGAACTCACCACACCAACTTATGATGTGATTAACCTCTTCCTGAACGAGTGACATAAGGCGTATGGCCGAGCCGCACCAACTTATGGTGAGGCTGGTCAGCCTAAATTTTCGGCATACACAAATAACTGGGCGATCTCAACTCATGAGGGGTCCAACCTCTGCCTAAACAAACGATGAAAGACATATGACTGGGACACACCAACTTATGATGTGTCTAGCCAGCCCATACGATGACGTATAACGTAGAACTAGGCTACTCAACTTATGAGTAGTCTAGCCCGCCTGAACAAGCAACAAGCGCGTTTCACCGGACATCCCGCAACTTATGCGTTCGCTCAGCCTCCGCAACACAACTACATTCAATAAGTAGAGTTACAATCCTTTTCTGTC